CCTGTGCATCCGGAGCCTGTGCTCCACAATGGGAGAGGCCACAACAGTGAGAGGCCCGTGTACCACAAAAAAAAAAAAAAATTGTTGGCTCCAAAAGACATAATTGCTAATGGGAGCAAAGCAACCACAGCAAAATAACATGTAATTCAGACAACAGAGGGCTAGTTAAGATCTTTGGAGACAGACATTCTTTTTGATGGCTGAGTAATATTATATTGTATATATATACCACACCTCCTTTATCCATTCATCTGCTGATGGACATTTAGGTTGCTTCCATGTCTTGGCTATTGTAAATAGTGCTGCAGTGGGGTAGTTGGGGTGCATATATCTTTTCAAATTAGAGTTTTCTCTGGATATATGCCCAAGATTAGGATCACTGGATCATATGGTAACTCTAATTTTAGTTTTTTAAGGAAACTCCATAGTGGCTGCACCAATTTACATTCCTACCAGCAGTGTAGGAGGGTTCCTTTTTCCAGCATTTATTATTTGTAGACTTTTTTATGATGGCCATTCTGACTGGTGTGAGGTGATACCTCACTGTACTTTTGATTTGCATTTTTCTAATAGTTAGCCATGTTGAGCATCTTTTCATGTGCCTGTTGGCCATCTGTATGTCTTCTTTGGAGAAACGTCTATTTAGATCTTCTGCCCATTTTTTGATTGGGTTGTTTGGGTTTTTTTGATACTGAGCTGTTGAGCTATTTGTATATTTTGGAAATTAATCCCTTGTCAGTCTCATCATTTGCAAATATTTTCTCCCATTCCATAGATTGTCTTTTTGTTTTGTGTATGGTTTCCTTTGCTATGCGAAAGCTTGTAAGTTTGATTATGTCCCATTTTTTTGTTTTTATTTCTATTGCCTTGGGAAACTGATCTAAGAAAACATTGGTATGATTTATGTCAGATAATTTTTTGCCTATGATCTCTTCTAGGAGTTTTATGGTGTCATATCTTATGTTTAAGTCTTTAAGCCATTTTGAGTTTATTTTTGTATATGGTGTTAGGGAGTGTTCTAATTTCATTCTTTTACATGTAGCTATCCAATTTTCCCAGCACCACTTATTGAAGAGACTGTCTTTTCTCCATTGTATATTCTTGCCTCCTTTGTTGTAGATTAATTGACCATAAGTGAGTGGGTTTATTTCTGGGCTTTCTATGCTTTTCCATTGATCTGTTTTTGTGCCGGTACCATATTGTTTTGATTACTGTAGTTTTGTAGTATAGTCTGAAGTCAGGGAGCCTGATTCCTCAAGCTCCATTTTTCTTTCCCAATATTGCTTTGGTTATTCAGAGACTTTTGTGTTTCCATACAAATTAAAATTTTTTTGCTCTAATTCTCTGAAAAATGCCATTGGTAATTTGATAGGGATTGTATTGAATCTGTAGATTGCCTTGGGTAGTACTGTCATTTTAACGATATTGGTTCTTCCAGTCCAAGAACATGGTATATCTTTCCATCTGATTGTGTCGTCTTCAGTTTCTTTCATAAGCATTTTACAGTTTTCAGAGTATACGTCTTTTGCCTCCTTACGTAGGTTTATTCCTAGGTATTTTATTCTTTCTGATGTGGTAAATGGGATTATTTCTTTAATTTCTCTTTCTGGTATTTTGCTGTTACTGTATGGAAATGCAACAGATTTCTGTGTGTTAATTTTCTGCAGCTTTACCAAATTCATTGATGAGCTCTAGTAGTTTTCTGTTAGTGTCTTTAGGATTTTCTGTGTATAGTATCATGTCATCTGCAAACAGTGACAGTTTTACTTCTTCTTTTCCAATTTGGATTCCTTTTATTTCTTTTTCTTCTCTGATTGCTGTGGCTAGGACTTCCAAAGCTATGTTAAATAAAAGTGGTGAGAATGGACATCCTTGTCTTGTTCCTGATCTTAGAGGAAATGCTTTCAGCTTTTCACCATTGAGTATGATGTTAGCTGTGGGTTTGTCATATATGGCCTTTATTATGTTGAGGTGTGTTCTTTCTGTGCCCACTTTCTGGAGTTTTTCCCATAAATGGATGTTGAATTTTATCAGAAGCTCTTTCTGCAGCTATTGAGATGATCATATGGTTTTTATTCTTCAATTTGTTAATGTGGTGTATCACACTGATTGATTGCGGATATTGAAAAATCCTTGCATCCTGTGATAAAGCCCACTTGATCGTGGTGTGTGATCCTTTTAATGTATTGTTGGAGTTGGTTTGCTAGCATTTCATTGAGGATTTTTGCATCGATGTTCATCAGTGATACTGGCCTGTAATTCTCCTTTTTTTGTGATATCTTTGGTTGGTTGTTTGTTTTTAGTATCTTTTTATTTATTTTTATTTATTTATTTTTTAACATCTTTATTGGAGTATAATTGTTTTACAATGGTGTGTTAGTTTCTGCTTTATAACAAAGTGAATCAGCTATACATATACATATGTTCCCATATCTCCTCCCTCTTGCGTCTCCCTCCCACTCTTTGGTTTTGATATCAGGGTGATGGTGGCCTCATAGAATGAGTTCAGAAGTGTTTCTTCCTCTACAACGTTTTGGAATAATTTCAGAAGGATAGGTGTTAACTCTTCTCTAAACGTTTGGTAGAATTCACCTGTGAAGCTATCTGGTCCTGGACTTTGGTTTGTTGGGATTTTTAAAATTACTGATTCAGTTTCAGTACTGGTACTGGTAATTGGTCTGTTCATATTTTCTGTTTCTTTCTAGGTCCATAGATGGACCTAAAGATTATCATACTAAGTGAAGTAAGCCAGACAAAGACAGATATCACATGATATTGCTTATATGTGGAATCTAAAAAAATGATATAAGTGATGAACTTATTTACAAAATAGAAACAGACTCACAGACATAGAAAACAAGCTTATGGTTACCAAAGGGGAAAGGGGAGGAGGGATAAATTAGGAATTTGGGATTAACACATCTACACTACTATATATAAAATAGATAACCAACAAGAACCTACTGTATAGTGCAGAGAACTATACTCAATATCTTGTAATAATCTATAAGGGAAAAGAATCTGAAAAAGAATAAATATATACACATATATACTGTATGTGAATCACTTCACTGTACACATGAAATTAACACAACATTGTAAATCAACTATACTTCAATTTAAAAAAATTAAAAAATAAAAGATCTTTGGAGGCAGACCTGTATTCGCATCCTGCCTGTGCCACTTTATAGCTATGTAACCTCAGGCAACCTCTCTGCCTCAGTTTCCCTCATCTATAAAATGGAGATAATAGTACCTATTCATCGTGAGGATTGAAGGAGACAAGTACATCTCAGTTCTTATCACAGTGCCTGGCCAGTGGTAAATGGTCAGTATGTTACTAATGACAATGATAATAGTCATTAACATAAAGAATCTTCCCTGTAGTGAATCTTGTGAGATACTGAGTGCAACACCAGGAACCCAGGTTGGAGAAAGCTGTTAGAAAAACAGTTGAAGAAGCGTGCAAGAAAGAAACAAAATTATAAACTATGTACCAAGCCACAGTCAGTTCTATTTAGAAATAGCTACCTACTAAGCGCTTTTGGGGCTCCACAGACACACCACTTTCCCTGAACTGCTCTCACCTGCCTGAAGACAGATGCTCCAAAAGGAACTCAATTGTTAGAAATCCCCTCCTCAAGAGTTTCACCAACCAAGGAAGACTGACCCTTAGCACAGGAGAAGAGACTACAAGTGGACACCACACCTAGATAAACTGTCACCATCACATCTCCCACCTATGGGCTATACTCTAAGGGCCCATTTATCATTCCTAAGAATCTAAGAGGGCTACATCCCCCCTTTCCCTCTTAAGATGATATTTCATCCCAAGTTCTAAGCCACCTCAGGGAGTTATTCATTTTCCTCTGGGTATATACATGATATATACATGTCACTAAGCTTGTGGGTTTCCTTTTGTTAATATGTCTTTTATTACACAGGTTTCAGCTAAGAACTCAGAAGGGTAGGGGGAAAGTACTTTTTCTTCCCTACATGACAGTAATTTAGTAGGAGGGTTTCCAGAGTCCTGATGCATTCAGCGGAAATACTGGGGATGTGACCAGGTGCTCATGGAGGCTCTTCAGGAACCCGAATATCAGCACACCAGAACCTTTTCCTTGGGGCCCACAGAGCTCTGGGAGGCAGAAACCCTGACGTGCATGGTGCAGGGAGGGGGCAGAGGCAGCATAGTGTCTAAGCACCTAGTCCTTTACTTGTGTGGCTTCTTTGTGAGCAAGGCACACGCCCTCGCTCCTGTTGAGGAACCTGAGCCAAGTCACCTGGAATGTTCTCTTTGCACAAGTCACTCATCAGTGCAGCCTTAGCTCATGCTAGTCCTTCTGCTGGGAAATGCTTCTCCTTACTAGACTCTGCCTATAAAAAAATTCTACCTGTCCTCCAAAGTACAACTCAAAGGAGGCCTTCTTATTCATTTATCCAAAAATATTTGCTGAATGCCTACTTATATGAAACAAACAGACCTTTTTCTGGGGATACCAAGAGGTATAAGGAGTGCAGGCAGCCAGGCAAATAAACAAATAGTGAAATTCAGTGAGATGGGGGCTACAATAGAGGCATTTACAAAGTATAGAGGGGTCTTAAAGCATTCACCCTGCAGGGAAGGCCACTGGCCACAATTAAATAAAGTAATTTCAAGAAAAGTGTTAGGAAGAAAACAAAGTTGGCTAATGTGAACAAAAGTGGCTGGAAGTTTGGGTTTCAGAGAAGGCCTCTGAAGCGGCACTGAGCCAAGAGTGGAATGGTGAGACCAGCAGCCATGGCAGCAGCAGCGAATGCAAAAGGCCTGAAGAGTGGGACCCATGTTGGCTTTGAGGAATAGAAAGAATGTCTTGTGTCTGGAATGCAGTGAGAGGGGAGCCAAGATGAGATTACACATAAATAAAATATTATACTCTGCCTTTTCCACTCAATATTACAAAGTAAGAATGTTCTTGGTTGTGAAAAATGATTTGTAAACATCTTTAATGACTGTATTAAAACATTTTTAATGGCTGTATTAAAAAATCATATTTTAAAAAAGTTATTTTCTGCTTTAAAAAAATCATCACATGAGGTACACTCCTGATTCAGAGACACCCCCTGCTCAGCCTTCAGCAGAAGTCAGTAGGCAGAAGGGCATATGGGGGTCAGGCACCACCTGCAGGTGTCCTCACTGCCACTTCTGGGCCCCTGTGGTCAAGGCTCAAGTAGCAAAAGCCCCAGTGACCAAACCCTGGAGACTGTTGATATGTCCTGTTCCCAAGAGAAAGTGTCTGAGCTCCAGAAACTTCTCTCCAGCCTCCTTGCCCCCTCCTTTGTATTGTTCATACTACTGTGACTCATGGCTTGAGGAGAAACTGTAAGTTCTCAGATGTCCCCTGCTAGAGACCACTTCCTTGTCTTCCATTTGCAAGGAATAGGCAATGCTGACAAAGGCCTTCCTCCAGAATCTTTGCTCTCCTTTCTCCTCTCTTACCATAGCTTTTGGCTTCTGGCTTCTCTGGAAAGCCAAAGGACTCCTCCAGCTTCTCTCTGCCAACATTTTAGTCTTCAGGGCTTGAGCTGCAAGGTCTGCGGAATTCCTGTCCATACTCGTGTATCCACTTGTTGGCCACTGGGGGAAATGGGGAGGAAGAAGAACAGGCTCAGCAGAGCAGACAGTAGCGATTCTTTTGCTCACAGGGCCATTAAGTTCCACACCCTTGGCAACTCACTTGCCTCACCCTGGTCCCAGCCCTACTATGGACTACAAGGCGCTGCTTCAGCAGCAGTAAAGAGCAAAAAGGACAGTGGCACCTGGAAAAAGTCCCTGACAGGTCCTGCTACTACAGACTAATTTTCAAACCTGTGGGTACTGTGGTCACTTACCCTTCATATGTAGCTCCTAAAAGCCCACCTCCCCCAGGGAACCATTCCAGGGTAATGAGGGAAAAGGGATGGATTCTCCTGGCAAAGTCCACCTCAGCACAAGAGTCCCTCTTCTTTTTCTGTCTTCAGAGCTAAGTGCTCTTAGACACATATATGACATAAACACATCCTCTACTTATTTATCTCTTCCTTGTTTGACCATCTCCTCATGGGAAAGCACCTGATGGTTCTCTCCTTGGGATAGAGGACTGGGACTTAGCAACATATTATTCCTTAGCTGTGCTCAGGAATCAAGGCCCATCTGGTCAGGCCTATAAACTTTTACTGACACCTGCTCTATGACAAAAGCCTGGCCTTATGGGCTCCCAATGTACTGGTGGCAACTAATCCAGAATCTGATCACCTCAATATAATGTGGCACTGTTAAGCTTTTGGAATGAAAAGGCTATGTTATTTTCCATCCATTCCCTATTTCACTTTACCCTGAACCCCTCACCCAATTCCCATGCCCAGAAAGGCAGGCCTTACCCCACTTATCTCCTACCAGGACAGGACAGCCAGCATGAAGTGTGTCACCATCCCCTTCACCACTCCTATGCAGGTTCCACCAAAATAGTGCTGCATTCTGAAAACAAGCAGACCCCGCCCCAGGGGAGGTCAGCCCAGAATCTCAGTCCTTAGGAAGCACTTGACTGAGGACAAAGGCATGCATGTCATTAAACAAGAAAACTGTCCATGCAGATTGGGGGCAAGGCATGCATAAAATGCCACAAAATGGTATAAGCTGCCATTTACTCATTCGCTCATGCATCCCTTATTGAGGGCCTGCTCTGCTCTAGGCCCTGAGGATACAGAGACAGATCATGTCCAGTTCTCTCAGGGAGTTCAGTCTTGCGGGAAAGACAGACATAAAAACAAACGAGGATGAGACAGTGTGACAAGTGCTGGGGGAAAGGTGAGCACAGGGTGTCATAGGATCACTGAGGAGAGAAACTCGACAAAAAGCACAAGGTGGAACAAAATATTCCTCACACAACTAAGAACTTAATTGAGCCACTGACTCTTCCTTAGGCACTTCCTAATAACACCCACAGGAAGCAGGGGTCATCATCATCCCCACCTCACCAGCAAGGAAGCTGAGACTTAGGGGCTTTAAATAATGCAACTAAGAAGAAGCAAGTTCAGGACTCAAACCCAGGCATTTTGGTTCCAAATCGTATATGTTCTTTTCCCCCCGCATCCCCAGCTTTTTTTCCTATACGCTTACTTTAACCTTTGCCAACCCCCTGAGTTTTGATAGATACCCAGCATTTACCCACTGAATGCTTAGGATGTGCTGGGTACTGTGCTAAGTGCTATGAGGCGTGATCTCAATTATTTGTCTTCATTTCATTCCTGAAGTAAGGGCTGTCATCCCTGATTGGTTGATCTGACATTTGGGGGAGATATTAATTCATTAAACAAACCTCTTACCACACTGGCCGCCCTCTATGCCTTACTTGACCTTATAGCTCCTATTGCAATACGTTATGTTGACTTCTGGAGGCAAGGACTACTCCTCGGTACTCAGTGCCTCCAGCCCCCAGTGTTTACTAAATGAATGACTGAAGGGACCAGTTGTTGTCAAGGATCGGAAGGGGACTCTCACCTTTGAGGAGCTCTATTGTAATGGGAAGGCACACATGTAATCATCCTCTTGTAATATAAGTGTAAATAAAATAAAAAATAGAGGCACAAGTAAATGCAGGAGTCAAGAAAATTGAGGGATTATCTTTGATTCTGGGAATCAGGGGAGACCTCTTTTCATTCCCTCTCCCAGGAATAAGCTTGCAAGCACAGGCAGCATGAACGCTAGGGTGTTACTTCTGCACTGCTAAAACCACCTGTTGGGGTCAGACCCCCACTCACCTTGACCACAGGCACGCTAAAGTTGCCGTAGATGAAGGCTGTGGCTCCTCCAGCTTCCACCGAGCTCAGCTGCAAGGCCAGAGGAAGAGGCAGGGTTGAAATAGCCCGACTGCCCTACTCTGCCTCACGTGACATCTAATGTCATTTCTGCATAAATTCCCTCTTGTGTGCCCCTCTTCCAACTCTGGGAGAAATACTTATGGAAATACAATCACCCAATTTAGGAATTGAGAGAGCCTACTCAGTGGCATCAGTATTTGCCTGCAGGGCCACAAGAGGACAACGTTTAGAAATGCCCCCTTTCTTTACCCTTTGAGCTAACATCCTTATTGAGGGTTACCATAAGTAGATTCAAACTTTGAGGCCCTCAGGAAGAAATACAGTTTATGTCACAACCCAAGACACAGACACGTCCCTGAAGTAAGTTTCATAAAACATTCTTAACTACATCAGATGCCCTCTGTTATTTTCCATTTTATTTTATTCTATTCTAGTTCAGATTTCTTAAATACTGACCAGATCCACTAAATTGATTTCACAGCCCACTAATGAATCATGACCAGTGGTTTACAAAACACTGTTTAGATTACAATGATTATTTTTGAAAGCTGGGCATCATAGGAAATACTGATTGCACCTTTGGTGTGTTTCCCAGATCACTCAGACCCTCTCTAGGTAATCTCAGCTAAAGGGTTTCACCACTGGTATATTCTAGAATTATGGATGTGTTTACTTAACTTGAAGAGTTTTTTCTGATTGTCAAAGAAATACATAATAACCTAAACATTTTGAAAAATACTGGAAAATACTTTAAAATACTTAATATTATTCATCATCTTACCATCTGGAAAAAGAAAAAAAGCACTGTTATGGTTTAACTGTAATAGTTGACATTTATTGAGCACTGGCCATATGTTAGGCATCACACTAAGTCCTTACAAATATATTATCTCACTTATTCCTCACAACAAATATGTCATCCTCACTATTCCTGTGAGTTAGTATTGTTATTATTTACATTCTACAGATGAGGAAACCAAGTCTCAGAGAGATTGAGTGGTTTACAAAAGGTCATATAACTCCTTGGTGACTGAGCCAGGACTGGAGCTGAGCCAATGCTGTCTGACTACAAAGTCCCTGCTCATAACCATTATGCTACAAGCACTCTTGAACATTAGGTTATTTCCCACTGTTTACTATTATAAACAACACTGTGAATATCTTAATGAGTAAAATCATTTTTGCGTTTTAGATTGTTTTCTTAGGAAAGAGTCTGAGCATTAGTATTATTGGGTCAAAAGTATATGCAAATATTCAATACTTTAGATACATACTGCTAAATTATTTTCTCACCAGCAGCATGACACAGAGTGCCAGTCTTACCTCGCCCTGGCTGTCTACCAGCACATTCACAGATCCCACCATGTTCGCCTGTGTTACAGAGCAAGGGCTATGGGTGTTGGGATATTAGCACTTGTTAGAGGAAACTGGACTGACGTGGCGATTCAGAACCTGGAAAAGGCAGTGGTGATTTTTAGCACATCTTGGCTCCCCCTGTAGTCCTTTGGGAAGGGTAATGAGAGCAACAATTTGCTCCTTGTGTTCAAATAACAAACTGGATGATTCTGTTCAGACCCCTGTTGTCAGCTACTGTGGGTGTAAGCAAGACAACAGAGGGAACCTGGACTTTCCTGCCTTCCTCTACCTGTGGTTTCACAGTATAGTGGGAAGGAAGGACTTATCCAACAAATTGAAAAGAGAATTGGATCTGTGTGCTGTGAAGCTCATGAGCAGGGCATGGATTATAAGATTGGTGGAGGGGAGGGAAATCTTCCCTCTGTAAACCTTCCACTGTTTTGTACTGGGACTGATCTTATGTCCAGTCTGAGTAGAAAATCACTAACCTGATTTCAACTCAATCCTCCCAATACTTCTTAAAGATTATTTTCTCCTTATATAATATTACTCTTATGTTCTCCATAAATCTTATCTCTTACGTTCAGAAATGTTTATGATGGTCTTAACACCAACCTGAAGATGAAAGGATGGGGCATAACCTATAGTCCTTCCTAGGTCCCACGATCCCATTTATGGGGTCCTGTGCTTGCTTTCTGGGATACATGATAGAAACGTATTGTATGAAACTTCACAGAGAGATATCCCCGTACATCATTTCATCAGATCCTCATGACAGCCCTGTGAGGAGGCGCAGAGCAAGAAAACAAGCTCAAAGAATTGATGTGATTTGTGCTGAGGCCACATGTTAAGTGGCAGAACCAGAATTAGACCAACTGACTCCAAACCCAAAACGCTTTCCATTCCACTGTGTGTATCAAAGGCTTAAAATCCAAACATATACACACTCTTGCATTTGTCATTTAAAATTGCTGGGCTACTCTTACCATAGTACCCTTACCATAGTAACTGGGCCTCTGTAATCAGGGCGTCAGCTACAGAAGATACTAGGGGGATAAAGAACAGAGAGATATTGGCCCCTAGATGTCCTATTCTTTGGTTGATATCAATGCACTTCACTGCCTGTGACCTCCCATGCCAGCTTTAGTCATCAACCAGAGATGTACCAGCAACTGATCCAAGCTGTGTCTCCTGCCCAGAGAGCTGACGTCAGCCATCCCTCTGCCTGATCAGAATGCGCAGAATGACCATGAGAGGCCAGACACCATTGGCAATGGCAGCCTTCCAGTTCTGCATAAAATTAAAACCAAGCCACATGAAGAAACATGTTGGGATTGCCAGCATTAAAACTACAGAGGGCTGGCCTCTGATTGTCCTTTCTTGGCTACACTGTGGAGACCAGTTAACAGGACTAAGGAAAGAGGGAATGCTAGGGTGTAGGTGTCTGCTATTCTAATGAGCCTGAAACCAGGCCTTCACCTTAGGGTGTTATGTAGAGCACTTATATTTGGCATGTTTATTCCTTCATTTAACAGTAATACACCTCTTATAATTTAAGTGACAGTTGCCTGAAATTATGACTTGTCCATAGAGAAGGAGGTAAGCCCACATGATCTGAAGGGAAGAGGATAGGTGAGATAATAGACTGGGTCCGAATTCTATAGGATCAGGTCAGGAACTAGGAGAGGAGGGCAATTTATTTTTTAAGGGGGTATAATGTAGATTTTAGTGAAGAATTTATGAGGAGATAAGGAAGAAAATTTTCACCCTATATGAGAGAGCCACACTTACTGGATTTCTCTGTAGGCATCTCTGTTCTTCCCTCTTGTAATCTCAGCTGCTTCATTTCTCTCCTCTCTCCCCTCACAGCTCCACAACCTCACCTGTAGGTCCGTGCTTTTCAACACCAACTAGTCTATGGGACCTCAAAGACAGAGACTCTCATATCCCCTTCCTGTGTTGTTCGGGTCCCAGGATCTCTTGGCCTTTGGTGTAACCCCACTTCCCATCCTAATCACTGACAATGACAAGGTCACACTTAGGTCTACACAATGTAAGCTCTTTGAGGGAAGGAACTGACTTGTATTGATATTTCTTTATCTCTCCTATAGTGCCTAACAAGAGTGCTGTATGAAATTCACAAACATCCTGGAGATTTTTCTGCTGTGAAATTCAGATGAAATCAGTATCTGATACTGCTTTGAAAACCATAAAATAAAAGAGCTATAAATAGTCATTAAGTAAGCAGCCCTGGTCCCTCCAGAGCAAGACTCACGTAGATCATAAATGTTGCGACTCGGTTCCCAGAGTTCATTCTGTACAGAGGGCTGGTTGGTGACTGAGACAAAAATAGAACATATCATTATTTTATGCAGATGGCACCAGAGTAACAGCCAGGATGCCACCATAATACAGGGAGGAGAAAAATGGAGGAGTCACAGATGGGATATAGCCTTGAGCTATACCTAGTCAAGTATGTGCCTATCTTTGCTGGCAGGTACTCAATATACTTTTTTCCTCTTACCACTTTATTAGATACTCATATAAGTGAACTGTATACTACTAATCAAACAAAATTGCTTGTTAGTAGTGAAAGCACTATGTGAGGGGTTGATTGCACCTTCAGGTTCTCGGTGAAATAAATTAACATATAAGATATTACAGATAATTATTCTGTAAAAATACCAAGTCATAAGACTGGAGTTCCCAATTATTTGCCAAAGAGGCACACTTTTTTGTCATAGAAGAGTTTAATTGATATAATTTACATGTCATAAAATTCAATCATTGTAAGAGTGTTTTTCAGTGAGTTTTAGTAAAAAGAAGATGAGTCAGCAGCAATCAGCTTGAAACCAAGGCTTTCAATCTACCTAGAACGAGAACCTTTGTTCTAAAATTTCATGCAGTATTCTCTGGGGGCCCTATAAGAGCTCTGTCTCAGAGAAATAAATAACACCCTCGTTGCCTACCCCACGAGATTGGTCACCGACCCCATGGTTACCGTAGCATGGTCAAAGTGAGGCTCATAGTGCCCTCCGATTCCGTAGTTTACCACCTGGAGATACTCTGCGTAGGGAGGCTGGACATCAAGGCCTGTAAGGGAGGCAATGCGATGGTCGAGGGTCACCAGCACTGGGTCAACGGTGTCCTTTAGCCAGGCACTAAAACACACCACAGGTTGCAGCATCAGTGATCTGATGCCAGAAATGACTAAATATTTGTGAATGAATGAATGAATGATGTCAACTGCCAGAAGGAAGGAAGGAAGGCAAGGAGGACAGGAAGATAGACACGAATACCTAATTACCTACTCACTCCTCCTGTTAAGTCGGCCCAGTCCATTTTGTGCTCTATCTTAACATTCACACATTCATTCAACAAACATTCTCTGAGGCCTACTGTATGCCAGACCCTGTGCTAGGTGTGTGAAGAGTGAAGGTTCACATCACCAGGCACTGGGATACAAAGAGAAGACAAAACCCTGTCTTTAAAAATGCTATGTTTAGAGACATCTCAATGGAGGAAGCTGGGTGCAATGGAAAAAGCTTTGAATTCAGAGGAGTAAGACCAGTCCTGGATCCTCGGCTTGACCCTTGGTCAGGCCCTTAACCTTTCACCTCTCTTAAGGTTCAGTATATTCATCTATAATATGGGGATGGTAATAATATCTACTACACAGACTTATGAAGATTGTGACAGACAATGCTTATGAAGATGCTTTGTAAGCTGTATGTTATTGATTGCTTTAAGACACAGAAAAATCTCTGTTCTTTTGCTCTACTCCAGGATAAACCAGCATAGGTCAAAGGCCAAAGAGCAAAGTTCAGTCTCTTTTCCTGAATGTCTTGTTGAGGTTTTGATAAAGTGGAGGATTTGGGATCAGAATGTGGTCCCTGGGAAGTGAGGAAGTGTTCCCCAAGCAAAGCCAGTGAGCCTCCTGGGGAGATGATGAAGGCTCTTGAGGGAAGCACCTTGGCATGTCTGGGAAGACCACTTCTTTGGTCTATAAATGATGGATTAATTTGTTCATTCTTTTGTATGGTGCTATGCTGTGGGCTCTAAGGTTTACAAAGATACCCAAGACAAAGCTGTTGTGTTCAAAGAGCTCATGAGAGGAGACACACAAATATACACAAATACAACTGAGCACAAATCAAGGTAGAATGAAAAATAAGAACCAGCCCTTAAAGTAAAGTTCTGGGGAGCACAGAGGAAGGAGATGTTAATTCTGACTGGGGCACTGAGGTAAGATGGACATGTAGGCCAAATTTTGAAGGGTGCATAAAATTTCAATAGATGGAAAAGACACAGGGATATTCCAGGCTGAAGAAATAGCATAAGCACAGACATGGTGGGGTGATATACTACAGTGTGTGCCAGCACGAAAGCATTTAGTCTATGAGAGAAGTAATGGGAAATAATGGTAGCAAAGTAGGCTCAGAGCATGTTGTAGAAAGCTGAGGACACTGTGGTCGGGAACCTGGTCTTTGTGGATAGTGATTTGGAGTGCATAGGTGACCTTTTTTTTTTTTTTTTTTTTTTTTTTTTTTTTTTGGGGGTGGGAGTTTATTAATTATTTATTTATTTTTGGCTGTGTTGGGTCTTCGTTTCTGTGCGAGGGCTTTCTCTAGTTGTGGCAAGTGGGGGCCACTCTTCATCGCGGTGCGCGGGACCCTCACTGTCGCGGCCTCTCTTGTTGCAGAGCACAGGCTCCAGACGCGCAGGCTCAGTAGTTGTGGCTCACGGGCCCAGTTGCTCCGCGGCATGTGGGATCTTCCCAGACCAGGGCTCGAACCCGTGTCCCCTGCATTGGCAGGCAGATTCTCAACCACTGCGCCACCAGGGAAGCCCCCATAGGTGACCTTTGAGGGACCAGTTCCAGTGAAGTTGTGAGGACAGAACCAAAATTCAAATGGGTGCACTGTGGTGGAGGGTGGGGAGTGAGAGGAGACAATGAGAGTCTCAGTTTCTTTACCTGAAAAGTAAAGAGAATATCACCTACTCCCCTAAAAGCAATGACTCTAAACAGAAGGTGGAATTTTCTCCTTGACACTACAATATCAGAAAGGTTAGCAAAGCAACGAAGCTGAGGTTAGATGGGCCTTTCAAAACTTAGAAAATAACTTCTAATGTACAAGGTCCCCAAAACATACCAGACCAAATAAGTTAAGCCAGATGATTCTGAATCCAAGCTTTCATCACTCACCTCGCTTCCCAGACAACAAAACCATCCACCCAGCTTGAGGTCTGGCCTCTCCCCAAGGATGTCATCACCGTCTCCCATGGCTCTGGTGGGGACCCTCCTCTTACGGTATCCTGTCCTTACAGCACAGACCAAGGGCTGCAGTGGAGGGGGAGCAGGGATGGAGGGGAGGGAATACGGCTGGGCTCTCAACCACAGAAGGGATCAGATCCAGAGATTCTGGCCATCCCTCTTGCCTGAGTGGTGGCAAGTCATGCTTTGAATATGAGTCAGGAGGTAAAGTCAAATTCCAAATAGAGACAGGACTTGTTCCCTGGTAAAGCAATCCTGGTTAGGAGAACAACTACACACTTAATTTTTGGTCTAGGGCATAGGAGCTTTTTCAAGTCTTTCCCT